AAACTTAATGCATAGTTTATGTTGGGCACAAGCGGAAAGTAATCACTCTAATCATCAATATTTTTTTTTATTTTCCTAAAATTTGTCTACTGTAGAAGCATAAATTTTCGTGGGCATAAAATTTTTTTGTTCTGACATCAAAAATAATCTCGTCGTTGTTTTAAAACTAACCCTAGGTCTAAAAAAAAATATGTTTGTTTCCTGTAACCCGACCGACCCATTCAAATTACCCCCCGGGTGAATTTTTTTATTGACAAATGGCAAAACTTCGTTTGATCAATCAGCTGATTCCATTTATTAAAAAAAGAAAATTAGCTTGTAGCTTAACTTGAGACATAAAATATGTCAACTTAGTTTACATCTAAGTTTGATTAGTTATAAAGAGTAATCATTATTATAACAACAATTTCCCCCTACAACTTTCTGAAGATCGTTTTCTGCCGCTAGGTAGCCATTTTGGATGCCATGTTGGGTGTCCACTGTAGATATGACACCTGGTATATTGAATCCAGGGATGTTTGACAATTCATAAGAAAAAAAAGAATCCAGACCTACCGACCCTTAATTTTTTTTTAATGTTACAGGAAACAAACATATCTTTTTTAAAGCCCTATTCAATATATAGTCATATAAAATTTCGTGTGGGATTTAATTTTGTTGAATTTCCCCCCCCCCCCCCCCCCCCCCCGAATATTTGTGCTTTTACAGTATTTTTACCTGATAAACTATCATATGTCTTTCCGCTACCCCGTTTTTGCCATCCAGCATCTACAGCAACAACTAGTCCATTTTCGTTCATCTCTCTGAAAAATAGATAAATAACAGACATCAGTTATTAATTAACTGTGAACCTGTCTTCTTTAGAACACCCCCTAATGTGCATAACATTCTGCATATTTATCAATACAAATTATACTGTACATGATTAAACCTTATATTTATCAGTATATCAGATTCTATTAACTTGATCACTATCAATTATTATTAGGTATTCCCTATGATAATCATTTGGGGATCAAAACTAAAACACAAGGCTCTTGGGGCTTGGGCCACAATACTCTAGGAAGTCACTGTCTCTGTCCAATCTAATTAAAACTTTTTAATTTTTCCTTTTTTAATTCATTCTAGGAATGAATTTAATAGCTACCCAAGTTATACTGTATATCCTGGGTTGTGCCAGTTTTGGCTTTCTATACAGCGAGGCTTTCATTTCAAAGCAGGTTACACTAATATAACTTGGATAACTATGAAGTTAATTCCTTATAATTTAATTCTCCATCAATAAGTAAAGAAAATATAAACTTAATAAGACAATTTTTCCTTCAAAAATGCATGCAATTAGTACATACATGTATCTTATATGTAAAATTAAATGGGTTGTTATGTTTGTGACATACATGTTAGTAATTGTGACTTAACCAACACAGGTTATACCATATGACCACTACACATGTATGCTGGACACCCATTGATCTGATCAGAAAAGCTCTATTGCGCCTTTGGCTCATTTGAGCTAAATAGTGAGATTTAAACTGAATTTATATTGTTTACACACTCATTCATCATTTCCAGTTCCTTCTGCAAAGCATCAGACATAGACTCTGCAGCAATGTCTTCAACAGCTCTGCCTATCTCTTTCTGTCTTTTGTCCAGCATGGCATGGCTTACAGGTGGTATATTCAGCTCAGAAAGGAGACTGTTGACTTGCGTTGCACCAATACCAACATGTACAATTGCTGTAAATACAAATTCATAAATGTAAAAAAGAAATCAATCTAATCACTTTAAACAAGAAGCTTGTGAAATACAACACTCACCTTAGTCTCATTTATTTTCTCTCTTTATTACCAGAAATTAAAAATAGAACCCATACTTTTAACAAACTAAACCCCTAGGGGTAATGGCAACAAAACTGGAATTGATCTACAAAGAAGCTCTTGGATTCTAGAGGTTTTGTAGGGTAAAAATGAGGTCTACCGATTAGACATCAGAAACATTTCCTTGACAAAACTATGTTTTATGCTAACTTTGACAATTTCAGGAGGGGTTCGTGCCGGGTGTGCCCCCCATTAAGTCTGCCACTGATTATATCAATTTATAGATACATATACCTATTTACTGGCTATGAGGACAAAAGCAAGTTTATTGTCCCCCATGACAGCAACAATTTCTCAAGGTGCGTCCAAGTTGCTGTTGAGGGGGGGGGGGGGGGGACAACAAACTTGCTTATATTGGAATAGACAGGTAAAACTCAATCAGGCTCTTGTGACTTGACAATAATAAATATACATGTAACTGATGTATGGGATGTGTAGGTTAAACTTCTTACCTGCTGAAAACTTTGTATTTACATCCCACACTCTTCCATGTTTTTTCCCTGTTTTTACATGGTTAATATGATTACACTTTGTATTGCTGCAACAGACCTGAAATGTTTATGTAAAATCAATGAATTCCTAATTACAGGTCACTGTTCTAAATTCATTCACCATTAATGAAATCAAATGCTTGGGAAAAAAGAATTTAAATATGCATTACTTCAAATTATTTCAAAGAAAAAAATGTAACATCTTTCAAAACTAAAAATATGGATATATGGAATACTGCCTGTTTTATATGGAGTAAAATTCAAGGAAAAACCTTTCAAGGTTGTTTTTATACAAACTGTGCAAAAATTGGTGAGTTCATACCTTTAACAAAGAAGCTAAACCATATGTCAACACAGAAATAGTGTGTGAAAGTTGTAATGGTAAGCCACATTTACAACATCCCCGCAAGCCCTCAGCTAACACTCCAAGTTCTACTACTCTCCTCCCCTCCTTCCAATCCTTAGATGTAGTCACTTCTTCCCCATCAACCACCTCCTCTCTTTCCAGTATATTCAAATTTGGCAATTCTATGAATAATTAATAAAAATTATCACCATTACACATTCTTTATTATCTACTGTAACACATCCTGACTAGTTGACAGTTTAGATACACTATGACTTACTAAATTCCAAGAACCAGTTTTCAAAATAATTCATTGTGCCGATATACAACATATTTTTCCATATACCGATATTTCTCAAGATATTCTGAAATCAATCTTAAATATGATCTACTAAATTCTTTTACTCGACATTTGCTTGGAACCTGGTCATTCACATGTAAACAGACGGTGTATGAGGTGCAGCGAAGAGTTGCATAGCATTTGCAAGATCTTTCAACATTTTAAAGTTGATTTCTTACTCCAGATTGTAAGGTTAAGTAGTCTGTATTAATAATAATAAGTTAAAATCTGGATCAACAACTACACCGCCATTTTGATTATGAATGTAAAAGAAGCTATATGGTTGAACAATTTTTTCCTGTAATGCATTATCATGTCAGATTATATACCTTTCTATTTTCAAAACAATTAGGCCTAGACCGCTTACATTTTGTTTGTGACTTAGTAAGATCATATGATCCAATTAAAGAAAAATCATGTAAATCTCAAATTCAAATGAGCAAATATTCATTGAGTTTAGAACAGACTTTAGAGAAAATTTGTCCTGTCGTTCCCGCTTAACAATTAGTGTTGGGCCCATTGGCAAGCTGATCGATGTCAATTAAAAAAATTTAGGTCAATTTCGGAATTGATTTCATAATATCTTAATAAGTATAAAGAATTACGGAATGAAATTTGAAGGAATGAAGATTGTTTATATATGGATAGATATGGATAAACAGTAAATTTGTAAAGCATTCAATTTAAAAGAATTTTATTGGGGAAAGTAGGTACCCTATGAAAAGAGTTCCATACCTTTATTTTTTTTAACACCTCAATTTTTTTTCTAAGTGATCTAAAGGCCTGTGGGTCAAATGAGTATATCTTTCATCACGTGCAGTGCATTAAAATAAAATACAGTAATTATCTTTGATTAGTATTGTCATGTAAGGTAAGACATCAGCAAATGTAATTTTTTTTTTTGTAACAGCTAGGCTTAGTATATATATATTTTATTGAAATCCACATATGACATCATGTATAGTTAAGTTTATTATCATCAAATATGATTCAAATTTCCATGTTGCATTTTGATTACAATAGGCCACGTGGTTTTCAATAAAATACCCCCCCCCCAAAAAAAAAAAATTATATTTTAAAAACTTTGTTGTCAATCAGATGAAATTGTTTTTATCATTGAAATATATCGTTGAAAATTCAATTATATACTTGATAAAAACAAGTTTTCAATGTCTTAGTTATGTCATTCGTCTGTCATGTTGTTTTTCAATGAAATATTGAGAAAAATTCAATATCTTCTCTTTTGGTGCACATCTTTAACTATTATAAATTTTTTTTAAATAGCTACACGAAGTCATAGTTCAAAAAGTCTTTAGATTGGACCTGGTATATAAAATGAACATCAACAAATTCATGTACCTCCCTTTAATATTTCTAATAGACCTATGTGTAATCATGGTAATTTAGATGCAGATATGAAAACGAGTCTTTTAGATTACGTATTTTACATGTACAAACCGTGATCGTGATCAACGCTGACAGGGGTTGCACTGGCGGAGTAATTGTGGTCTGTAAGGATAGCTCCCCTAATCCATCGAGTCAATTGCCCTGCAGATACTTTATCATATCTCTCCTTCTGCTTTTTCGAGACGAACCCATGGCGTCTGTACTTTGGTTTCACCATCTCAACCAAAGTTACCGCGCAGACCTTGACTTCTCGTCTGCTTTTTGTTTACATTATCGTAATCCGGTTCACATCCGCGAAATGTAAAATGCTTAGTATATGTTTGTTTTCTGGCATAAAAAATCGTTATTATGTTACTTTCTATGGATGATGATAATAATTATTTGTAGAAACTATTAATTCTCTGCCGTATTGAATTCTTTATTATAACGACATTCAGACCAATATCCGGCAGTTCGAGTTGCGCGGTGAATTCAATTTCGTCAGAAGCGAAACACCTTAAATTAATTAAAATTTTTGCTTCCCTCTTGATCTGTCTTACCCGTCCATCCCCGGTGATAGTCCCCACAAAGTTGACAGGACACCTCTCTCTGTCTGCTATCTTCTGTACCAGGCCCTGGTCCCCGGGGCTGATCAGGAGGGCGTTACTCTCCTGGTACTCGGCCCCCCACAGCTCTAGGACACTGAGGGTCGGGTCGCCCAGCTGAAACTTGGAGGCCTGAATGAGAGCACCTGCTGGTTCAGCTATCTCCTTCAGGACATTACCTGTAAATTAAACTTATCATTAACACGACTATGACATCTTAACAACCCAAAGAAAATGATAAAGAACTTCATTAAATATAGCTGAATCTTCAATCTTTTTGGTTAAATGAACAATGAAAAATTTTTCTTCATTTCTGCTGTTGGCTACTTGTTGGCTTAAACCAATGCATTTTTGCAAAGTGAATAAAATTTTGAAAGTGAATCACTTTCAGTTAGACCCTTCCTTTGTTATATATTTATGTGACCTCTCTTTTTATAAAATATTAATGTAATTTAAGACTCAATCTCACACTAGATCTCACCGTTTCCCCCTGCCCCCTGGTCGTGGACACTAGCTATGGGGTTCCTCTCCCTCCTCTCTATACACCCCCTGATGACACGGTTCAGTTTCTGTTCCATCTCTGGATCCCCTCGCTGGACAGCTCCGAAGTCGAGTTCCTCCTTATTGTCCCCCTGGACCTGGACAGAGGAGGCAGCCCCTCCCCCCACACCGATTCTGTAGACGGGGCCACCTACTTTGGTCACCAACATCCCTACAAAATCATACTCATTCAGAGTTGTACCATACGTCCACTACAGTGATGATGAATGCATGTACTTCTTTAATGTCAATATATAGTAAAACATTCTATTTTTATCCCAATTTGACATTCATTTCCCCAGAAGGTACACACTGAACTTTTTTTTCACAGATTCTTCACCTGGTTGAGGTACATCCTTTTTAACATGGATGTCTTCCATCTGTCCAATCCCCCCGCTGAACATGATGGGTTTGATATACTCCCTCCTCTCTCCCCCTCCGTCCGTCATACCAAAGGACCGAGCGAATCCTGCCAGTACTGGTTCTCCAAACTTGTTCCCATAGTCTGAGGCTCCGTTACTGGCCTCTATGGCTATATTTAGAGGTGATGCAAAGTTACCTGGGTAAACATAAGATGGGTCCTCCCAGGGTTGGATGTAGCCTGAAAATAGTTTGGCTACTAGTGAAAATCTAAGCAAAGTTTTTATAAGAACTTTTTTATCTCTTAAATGGAGTTTTTAAAAGATTCTCTTATCAAGTTTCATTTGAGAACATTACATTATTTTTTCTGCATGTAAAAAAAAAAACATGTATACATGTCAATTGTTAAGATGAGGGTAAAGTACATGTAATAGTTACCTAAGCACGTAAATGTACTTGATGTGTACATGATACATAAAAACCAAAGACTGTGAAACATGTAGTATTACTGTCTCTTTAAAAATGTATAAATTATGGAATATAAAAGTAATGTAATTGACCAGGAATTTTGAGATTTCCAAAGCTGTATCCAGCGGTGCCTGCCACCACATGTGCCCCCCGCCCTGTAGACTGGACGTCTCTGATCCTGCCACCTGTCCCCGTGGTGGCCCCAGGAAAAGGAGCCACTCCTACAAAGAACAGATTACATCAGATCAGTATGAAGAAAATGTTTTTAAAAAAACACTTTTTTTCAGAAACCTGTTAAGTTATAAAGCATCTTTTTTTATATACATAATTATGAACTTCCTTTTATTTGTTACAGTGTAAGGAAGTCAGTAATATTTAACCTGTTGGGAAGTTATGAGTCTCTGCTGTGAAGATAACATGTCTTTTGATATTTTCTAATTCTGACATGGCACTCGGCGCTGTAGGGTCACTAGGAACCAGAACTGTCGTCTCAAACCCCTCAATGGCACTGAAACAAGCAAAGCGAGCAATCAAATGGTCAACTAGAAATTCCTAAACATTCCTTTAACTATACATTGATATATCAATATCACTAAGAATGAAAAGTTTTTATATGTAAGATAACCACAAAAAGACCAGCATACCTGCTATTATCTGAGAATTTAATGACATTATTTGAGTTTGAATGTTTCTGAGTCTCCATTATCATTTTGAACAGGGAATCAGGATGTTCCTTCCCATCCACCTCTAATCGCCCGCGGAAAAACCAGTGACGGCTATGCTCACTGTCAAAAGGAAAAAACATTCATGTTAACACTGAGATACACTTTTAATATATATATTTTTATTCTTTTAAACAATAAAATGCTTTCTTTGTTTGTTGTTACTGGAATGAACGGAAGCAGCTGTTGCAGAAAAAATACATAACCCGCGTAAGAGGGTTATGTAAATTTTTTCTGCAATAGCTGCGACCGTTCATTCCAGTAACAACAAACAAAGAAAGACATTTTATTGTTTATATTTATATCTGTTTAAATTATCATTTTATTAAGGCCAGCATTTTTTTATTTTTAGGTTTACAAACCCGCCGCTCAAGTTTTTGAATTTTCAGAAAAAAAATAAAATTGAGAAAAACAGATTTTTTTCTTTCCGATCTAAAATTTGAGTCGGGATCGAGATTTCAAATTTACGAACTCGTACTTCCGGTTTTGAATTGAACATGGCGGGTAAATGAAGAAAGATTTGTAAAGTCCATAGCAGCACTAAAGCTTGGTTTAATGTAAATATTTATCAATAGGAGTGCCATTCAAAACGTTTCACCCGTTCAGAGAACATTTACAATGCTGACGACTTTGTTGCACAATGACATGTTGGTGAGATATTTATGTATCCGTATTCAAAAGTATCTGTTGTAAATTATTTTCCTCCCACAGGTTTAAAACTGCCCATGGTAGCTATTGCCAGAGACATTGTTTAGGTTTCTGTAACTTATAGCTTACAGTCTTAGATCTAGCATCATTCTTCAGAATAGGGTCGCTTATTAAGAATCAGATGTAATGAATAAAACTATGGGAGAAGTTAAGTCCATTTGAGGAAGAAATAAACAATGGCCCAAAGAAATAAAATATTTCAACTATTTAAAAACAAGGATATACAAATATATACAGGCATGTATAGTATCGTTTATGACAGCCAGAAAAATTAAATTATTTTACACTTAATTGAAAAAATTCCACCCTACTCCCCAATACTCCCTGTCTGTTTAATGTTTTATGAGAGAAATTATTATTTTAGGTCTCAAGATTATTAATATTTTAGAACAATTTCTACACATTCACCTAACACATATTAAAAACAAAAATGAAGATGTATTGAAAGAGTTCTAAAAACTTGATTTTTTTTAAAAAATCTGTATTTTGTCCAACATCACAAGATTTATATCACTGGCCCCAACTGGTAGATGATTTAATAAACAATTAAAGGTTCTATTTTCCCCTTTTTTAATCCTTATGTGTCCAGTGGCAAGGAGCCTGTTAGGAGAGCATAAAAAAAGAAGCAAAAATTAATGTAGAAAAGTCGATAATGTATCCGAAATATGATTTTATTTTTTTTTTTTATTTCCTCCTCCTACGGGACTTTTTCATTCTGATGTTCATAAACCTAAAAATAAAAAAATGCTGGCCTAAGTAGGATTAAAATTATTAATTATTGTGTTAATGATGCGAACGTCTTTGTACGTTTCATTGATGGAACGGCCACTGATCAAGAAATATGTACAGGTGATATGCCTAATGTAGTTTATGCAGGGATGAACGCAATGGGTTTTCTTAAGAAATAAAGAAGAAAATATTCAGTGGATGTAACTAGAAAACTGACCAGTCAGCAAGGGCCCCACCATGGGATAGAATTATAAGGGTGCAGCTTGCGGAATGATTCAAAACAATTCAAAACAACTCTATATGTTCCTTCAATGAATGCAAATATCATGAAGGCTTGACCTTAACTTCAAAACAAACAGCAATTGCAGAAAAAGGTTTTCATTAATCTTAAAGTGACAGCTAAAGATAAGCCTTCCAAATTTTCTACAGCAGGCTAGTCTGGCTAGATAATTAATCCCAAGGGATTAATTGTACTTCTCTCTCATCATTTTCATTTAAATTTACAAGAAGAACTTTTTCATTAATGATAGAATGAGGTTTTTATCAAGGTACCTTAAAAATTGATAATAATATTCTTGAATTTACATAAAGCAAATATTTTTAAAATTCAATGAAATCAGAACTCATTGTGTAGGATATTTTAACAAAAATAAAGTATAAACATTTATACTTAACTCCACGTTTCAGAGTTTTCATAGCATTCCAAATTGACTACAAATTTCATTTGCAGACAGAGGTGGTAATTCATCTCAATGTGACAGATAAAGATAATGCTCTGGATTTTCTTCAGGAGGAAAGCTAATTAATCTCAAGGGACTCATTGCAGTATTCCGTTTACAATGGGAACATATTCAGCAGTTATCTCTCTTTGCCAATTCATTCTTATATAAAGTTAAGGAATCTACCCCACCACCCCAGCTCCAAACCAGAGGACATAGAGAAACAAACTTAGCATCAAAATATGTCTTTCTGCCTACTGAACTACCATACCAAATTTGAACTTATTTGGTCAACCATAAAAAAAATTATTAGGAAAAAACAGAAAATTTGTGGACGGAAGAATGACAGACGGACAGACGGACAGACAGAGTGATTACTATAGGGCACCCGCAAATCCTTGCGGGGCCCTAAATATTTCACTATAAATGAAACTTTAAGAAAGCAATGGGGTATGATACAAGTATCCAGAGAAATTCCAATTGCAGCTACTCAGCCCTCCTTACATCAGGGTCCTGTGTCAACTTGTTGCTGTGGAATCCCTGAAAAGTTTCATTTGATATCTTACCAGCATATATTTCATTAGTTGTTTTTTTTTTGTTTTTTTTTTTGGAAGGGGGGGTCATAGACCTACAGCAATGGGTTGATATAGGTCTCTTGATGTTGTGAAGATGCTTCACAGCTGTACATACATATGACTGTATTTTTATGGTGTTGATGTCTGTAAAGAATGGTTACTTCTCTGACTGGGGAGATACTGGGCATTTACCAGATAGTCTGGCGAGTTTCCTGTTAGAGTGGACAATTACCAGTTAGAGTAATGTTACCTGTTAGACTGGGTAGTTAGAGTAATAAGTTACCTGGGGTCAACTCCAATATAAGGGTATGTAGTTCCTATGCGGAAGCTTGTACATATATAAAAGTAGTGATTCGGTTCTATTGTTGACCGTGGACAGTTGACAGTTGACATTTAACTATTTCTACTGTCGACCGGGGACAGTTGACAGTTGACATTTAATCATTTCTACTGTCGACCAGGGACAGTTGACAGTTGGTTGGTCTCGCATTTATAACTGTGATAAGGGTTAGTCTTGCATTCATAAGTGTGACTAGGGTTAGTCTCGTATTAATAGCTGTGATTAGAGTTGGTCTCGCATTAATAGCTGTAATTAGGGTTAGTCTCCCATTAATAGCTGTGATTAGGGTTAGTCTCGTATAAATAGCTGTGATTAGGTTAGTTTCGTATAAATAGCTATGATTAGGGTTAGTTTCGTATAAATAGCTGTGATTAGGGTTAGTTTCGTATAAAAGCTGTGATTAGGGTTAGTTTCGTATAAATAGCTGTGATTAGGGTTAGTCTCATATAAATAGCTGTGATTAGGGTTAGTTTCGCATTTAAAGCTGTGATTAGGGTTAGTATTGCATTAATAGCTGTGATTAGGGTTAGTTTCGCATTTATAGCTGTGATTAGGGTTAGTTTCGCATTTATAGCTGTGATTAGGGTTAGTTTCGCATTTATAGCTGTGATTAGGGTTAGTGTCCCCAGTCGAGAGAAGAACATATAGAAAGTGTCAACTGTCAACCGTCGACCTGTCCCCTGTCGACACTAGAACACAAGGGAAGTGTCAACTGTCAACCTGTCCCCGGTCGACACTAGAACACAAGGGAAGTGTCAACTGTCAACCTGTCTCCGGTCGACACTAGAACACAATGGAAGTGTCAACTGTCAACCGTCGACCTGTCCCTGGTTGACAGTATATCATATAGAAAGTGTCAACTGTCAACCGTCGACCTTTCCCCAGTCGACACTAGAACACAAGGGAAGTGTCAACTGTCAACCGTCGACCTGTCCCCGGTCGACACTAGAACACAAGGGAAGTGTCAACTGTCAACCGTCCTGTCCCCAGTCAACAGTATATCATATGGAAAGTGTCAACTGTCAACCATCGACCTGTCCCCGGTCGACACTAGAACACAAAGGAAGTGTCAACTGTCAACCGTCGACCTTTCCCCAGTCGACACTAGAACACAAGGGAAGTGTCAACTGTGAACCATCGACCTGTCCCCAGTCGACAGTAGATCATATGGAAAGTGTCAACTGTCAACCGTCGACCTGTCCCCGGTCGACACTAGAACACAATGGAAGTGTCAACTGTCAACCGTCGACCTGTCCCCGGTCGACAGTATATCATATAGAAAGTGTCAACTGTCAACTGTCGACCTGTCCCTGGTGGACACTAGAACACAAGGGAAGTGTCAACTGTCAACCGTCGACCTGTCCCTGGTTGACAGTAGATCATATGGAAAGTGTCAACTGTCGACCTGTCCCCGGTCGACACTAGAACACAAGGGAAGTGTCAACTGTCAACCGTCGACCTGTCCCCGGTTGACAGTAGATCGTATGGAAAGTGTCAACTGTCAACCGTCGACCTGTCCCCGGTCGACACTAGAACACAAGGGAAGTGTCAACTGTCAACCGTCGACCTGTCCCCGGTTGACAGTAGATCGTATGGGAAGTGTCAACTGTCAACCGTCGATCTGTCCCCGGTCGACACTAGAACACAAGGGAAGTGTCAACTGTCAACCGTCGATCTGTCCCCGGTCGACACTAGAACACAAGGGAAGTGTCAACTGTCAACCGTCGACCTGTTTCCGGTCGACAGTAGATCATATGGAAAGTGTCAACTGTCAACCGTGAACCCATCCCTGGTCCCTGTGTGGAATGTAGAAATATTTAACTCCATAACATTACTACAATATACAGTGATGTATGAATATGTTAATATTGTTTCAGTCAAAGTACTACTTTATCCTTATATTGGAGTTGAGCTGTTACCTGTTAGACTGGGTAGTTAGAGTAATGTTACCTGTTAGACTGGGCCAGATCAAAACACTCCACATTGGTAGGGTTTCTTTTTATCTTCTCTCTAAATAACTCCGTGTAATAATCCAAATCCCAGTTATCGAAAGCCAACCCTGTTAAGAGACAGAATAAATCAACTGCAGTTTTATCGATTGAAAGAAACCTTCCAATGTTATTCATAGCAGATCAAAGTAAAACAAAATAAATTTGACAGAAATATAGGCATATACATGTACATATAAGTACTTCTGACTGGAAAGAAGATATTTTTAACCCCCAAATTACAGAAATGTGTACTAGTATTAGTGAAAATTTTCTGTCAGCGAAGACACTCTATTGGTTCTTATTTTAGATGGTTATTTCCCCTTTAAATACATATATGAACCCCACAAAAAAACTTTCTTCCTATTATTGGCACTGTATCATTGTTTTACCTAAAAATTACATCAGGAAATTCAGGATAGAAGTATTCTTGCGATATCACTCACTTTCTATAATTACCTTGCTTTTCACTGGCTTTTTCTAAAGCCTCTCTGCCTTCCCCCATAACGTCTATTTCATAAACATCCTCAGGCTTGACCTCGAGGTTAAAGGTCTCCACTGGGGTTAAATAACGACACTGGGTCATTTTGTCGTGAATACTGTCTACAACCTTCTGTTCTTCCTCGCCATCTAGCTGGAAATCCTCCGTAAACGTTAGGAGATAACGTGTGGAGAATTCGATTCTAGTCACGTCAGTAATTCCCACCGATTTACAGATAGACACTGTGTTTGTGGAGAATGGAGTAGAAAAATTTAATCTGAAATGGAACATTTCTCTGTTACTGCCTGAAATTTTTTATTTCATGTAATTTCAGAAGTATCATATCTCCTGGTTTGAAGCAAAAATAAAGGAAAGAAAATGTGCATTCCTAAATATTTCAATTTTCATGTTTTTAAAATTTATACAGTGTGGTCTTGTTAATACAATGTACCAACATTATTGATGTTAACCCAAAAATATAATTCTGATAAAATTTCACCAAGAATTCTTACTTTAAGTAGCCATGGCTATGTTGTACTGTTCATTGAAATCCTAAACTTTTATACCGAATTAAGCATGTTTACAAAAATTCCTGGTGTAACAAGATTTTATCAAAATCAGGCCGTGCAAACTGAAAAGTTTCAGAGAGATAGAAAGCCAGATACATGTAGCTAGATAAATGGCCAGTTAGACAGATGACGGACACAAAAGAAATGTGTAAGCTCTTACAATTAACAGTAAGTTAAATTATGAATGCATCAGGGATGCAGGTGGACTTCTAGTGTGACACAAACCTTGGTCCAATTTCTATGAGGCAGGTGTTTCCCCCTGGTTGTTCAAATGAACTCTTTCTGGTGACATCATTTTCCAGGAATGGGGTGCTTAGTACCCAAACAAGTCTGGAATAAGTTTCCAAATCCACATCTGAAAATATCAGTATGAAAGAGCTGTGTATACATCAGAAATACAAAACATTAAAAATATAGCTGTATCTGCTACAACAGCTATATAAAAACAATACAAGACTTTCCTCTCTGGGAAGAAAGATTATTTTCACTGAACCATTAAAAGATTATTATAAAACATTAATCACTTAGAATACCTGTGGCAGTCTGTCTTATGATACAAGCTATTATTATTTTATTAAATGTTTGAATCATCATATAAAAACACATTTACGTCCTGACTGATAATTTACCCTCTGATGTAAACTGGACATAGAAGCATGTCTCGATCTGGACTTTACGCAGATCGTCTCCGATGAGAGATTTAATTTTCTGGTAGGTCACGTCCTCCGCTCGGGGATAACTGCAAGATTTTTTGAACAGCTTCAGCAACAGAGGTTTCACCTAAAATAGTTTTTAAAGAAATATTAAATTTTCAAGATGAAAAAAAACATAATTGCATATCACATACCATATTCAGTGGATTCCTATTTTATATTTATAACCTGATAAAATTACTCTGCTTTAAGTCATACCACTGAAATACATGTAAGTTCAAGCTCTCTTGATTTGAAGTCAATGAGTCAACTTTTGATATCAACAATTTCTAAAATAATGCAAGCTATTGGCAAATAAGTTAATGACACAAGTTTGTCAACAATCTCATTTTAAAGTCAAATTTTCAGGAATTCTATGTTCAATACAATAACCTTGTCAACAAATACAATCTATAATTGTTAGGTCAAATGTTGATTAACATTTTTCATGCAATTTTTTGTTGGGCAATTTCTTTTCACATTTCCACAAATTTTTTTGTTTGCTTGATTATGAAAAGGAGCACACAGCAGCTGTGACTGGAAGACAGGGGGTGTTTACTCCTCCATAGCACCTGCTCCCTCGCCTGATGGTTTTAGAGGTTCATGTTTACTTTTCTTTCAATTTATCACTTTTAAACTTGATTACTGTTTATTATCCTTATTTTTTTACATCAAAATTCAAGTACTGGCATAGAATTATCTACAATATAATATATGCAGTTTCTAGTTTACAGAAGATTAAGAAACATTCATGAATTGAAGCTGATTATTTAAACAGGTTTAAATTAAAGAAAATGGATCCACAGTATATTGTTTGTTTTTTTACCAAAAAAAAAAAAAAATTAAGCTGTTCTTTAGTTATTTCATACATTTACCTCTTTTTTACTTGCACCGTCCTCCATGCCCCTCAGGGTACAAGGCCCTCACTGAAAAAAAAAAACAGTTTAAATGCTATAATAGTTTTTGTTCATATTAATAACCAATTGAAAATTATTCTGCAACAAAAAAAAATATTCAGCATGGAGAACTTTTGTTTCAAAAGCTTTTAAAAGTCCTACTATAGATGTTTAAGACCAGAAATACCTGCAATATGGTCATTTGCAAACAGTGTGAATATTTTAATTCATGAATATGAAAGTGGTTTACATTCATGAAAACAGAGAATAGCACTACATTTGAATATTCAAGATTTAGATTTAAGATAATGAAAAGGCTATAAATCTTGCAATCAGAAAGATATTTAGTAGATGGAAAGAGGGTTAGGTGGTATGAGTCTTTGTCAACATTTTACTACTAGTTTCTCCACTTTATACATTTCACACAATTCTTTTTAAAATTCATGCTTAATCACAGCAGAGGTTAATCAATATTAAACCTCCCCTCCAAATTCTAGATTGAACTTTCAACTACAGATTGACTCAGACAATTTTTATTTTTTATAGACTAAGCTTTCTAAAATACTATCCAATATCAGACTTTTGGAAAAAAAAATTTAAATTGTTCGGGATGTGCGTGTGCGTGTGTGGGTGAGGGGTGTGTGTGTGTTGAAAGCAACACTTGAATAGTTTTACTATTTGACTATGACATTGAATTGATGGATTGACAATTGACACTGCACAAACATTGGCTGATGGTTCAGAAAATTTTTGAGTCCTGATAGTTTGGATCTCCAAAATATAATTGAAATGATAAAAAAAGTCAGATAAAATTGGTTAAGAGAAAAACTAATAATTCTCAAAAGATGACATGTATAATAATCAAAAGCAATGCCCCAACAAGTTTATCCTCTGTGGCTATTGACAGGGATTGGAAAAAAAAAGTTGCTTGATAAACCTTGCTGGTAAATCAAAATGGAAATGTTTTATTAGCACGATTGGCACTAATGAAGATTGTCCAAGTGAAAATCATACATTTATTTTTTAAATGTATGAAGATTGTCCAAGTGAAAATCATACATTTATTTTTTAAATGTAAAGTTAGGGTTGTCCCCAAGACCAGGGGACCTGGGAATTTCCTTTACCCTAATGAAATCAACCCCCGATTAAACTGGTGTTACCCCTCAATCCTCTATTATTTGGGAGAAACCCTAGATCCCTCTACTTTAAATGTCCCATTATTTCAGTTCTTAAGGAAACCAGGTCCTGTAAAGTACTGCAGGTAATAAATACACCAATGAACCTAAAATGTATATTCAAAATATAGGTTCATGATTTAAAATACACAGCATACAATTATCAAATCTGGGCAGAGACATAGTTAATGTCATATCCATTAATATCTACTAGCGTGTTGATCTACTATTACCTAAAAATGTTTAGCCCGATTTTCGATTATTGATGGCGGAAACAAACAAGATATATTACTCAAACACTGCAGAGAACGCTGCTTTTTTTCCTAACGGGCAAAATATGCAGCCTGTGCCTGTGGCGAAAACCACGAGCCAATGTGCGTTCGTATGTTATTGATAACAGTTACCTTAATATTCGTCCAATAAATAAAATCAGGTATAAGTGCATAAAATATATAGCTGTATACATAATAGGACAATGACTGATTAATTTAACTCGTCACATAGCAAAGAGGTTACTGAGTCCTGACTCCTGTCACGTCTGGGAAAATAAAAAGAGAAAATACGAAATATCTCTGGTTAAAACTGGATAAATCTGTGAATGTTTTAACATACATTAAATCCTTACAAAATAAAAATACTTGGATCCTTTCTGAATATTAGGCCTAAACTTACGTTGCTATATAAATTCAGCACACGTGTTTTGATTTTCCCGTTCGGAAAGGTTGAATGATTTTTGCCGCTTATCCATTAAAATATCTTCTTCGACTGAAGAGCTATTCAATTAGAATTACCTCCCTTAGACTACAACAAATTCCGAATGTGACCCAGTGACAGGCATAAATGAAAATAAACATTTAAGTTATTTTTATTTTAAAAAGGAAACGACCTATTTATGTCAATAATTTAATTAAAAGGAACCTGGTGAAGATAACTAACAGTAATCGATCTCTTAGGGGAAAAAACACAATACAAAACCTGTGAGGTCATCTTTAAAATAATGTTTGTTTGCCCTCTCCCGACTCAGGATAAAAAAAAAATTGGGTCGATAGGTATGTCACTGTGTGAGAAAAAAAATTTTGTCTGAAAATTTCATTTCAATGATTAATTTTTTTAAAAAATGTATATTTAAATATTTTTCCAGAATACATTAAATATAATGAATTGCTTCCTGGAGGTAAAAAAAACTTTTGAGTCGGACCAGGGGGGAGAGGGCAACCTTGAAACATTTTTTTAAAAAAAACAAAGTTGGCTTGCAGTGAATGTGCATAAAATCCGGAGCTCTTAAGGTGGGATCAGGTGCCAGGATGGAGTATAAGTAAAATGTTTGAAACGTCAAATGCGATAAACCTGTGGACCCAAAGGTTAACATTTACTTGAGAATGTCCAACTTTGCTGTTTTCATACAGACTTAAACCGACAGATCATGATGTATTTACAGAATATAATTATTATACCAAATCATGCAGGACACATTTTAGCAATTTTTACACACACGACACGGTCCTTACCATTTAAAGAGACCCTAAGTTTCAAGAGTTTTGTTTCCCAGGTCATTTTTTTTTTGGTTACTTCTACAAATGACTCTGAAATTTACTGAAGAGGGATCATCGCCCCACATCAACCCCGTGACACTCTTGCTTTGGCGCGCCCGAATTTACTATTTCCAGCGGGGATCCAGTATTTCTTGAATTTGTTTAAAAACATTAACAGATTCTAAAAAACAATTTCGTCGGAGGATCAATTTTCTGCAGATCCACGGCTCCCTTTAATATTTAAAGAATGGTCTCTGTTTTCTTACGAAGAGGGGGACCAAGATGATTATTATTTATTTCACGTTGAACTTTTTCAAAGGGGGAACCATGGATCCCCTATAGATTTGTTCACACATGCATCTAATACCCATGTTTATGGCATAAACTACAATGGTCATACATCATTGGAGGATCCAAAATTCTTTATAAAAAAGGGAGGTACCCAAAAGGAGGAAAATCCGAAAAAATAAATATTTTGCCTCCGTATGCCACCGTACTCGTAATAAAAGATACCCTGTCCGTCCTTCTGTCTGTTTGTCTGCAAAAACTTTAAAATTGCCCCAAACTGTTGATAGGTTGAAGCCATGGTTTTTATGTTTCTCATGTCTATTCCTTGCGACAAAACCTTTTTTTGGTTGCTAACATATTTGATCATTTATCCTTAAGGACAGATGATACAAACAAATTTTTTCTTTGAAAAAGTTTTGATATCATGTCACAAGTTTAGAAAAGTGGATGGTTCTTAAAATTTTTTCTCCGAAGAACTGGAAAATGAAATAGACTTGGAAAATATTAGTAATATTTCAATAAAAAAACAAATATAGACAAATCACATTCAGTGAAGGTTTACAGGTGAAAACAAATTTCAGAATATGTGTTACCTTGGTGCTAAAAGTGTAATTTAAACTTTAGAAAAATATACCAAGCCGGGTGAATTTTAAGAGGAAGATCAAAATGACAAAAAATTAGCAATATCACAAAGGCTGATTTTTACCATTTAGCTTTTCCTAATTAAATTCACCTGGCTTGGTATATTTTTCTAAATTTATATTACACTTTTAGCACCATGGTAACATATTCTGAAAGTTGTTTTCACCTGTAAACCTTTACTGAATGTGATTTGTCTATATTTGTTTTTTCATTGAAATATTACTAATATTTTCCAAGTCTTTTTCATATTCTCATTGTTAGGAGAAAAAATTCTTGTTATGATACCACTTTCGTATATTAACTTGTGACATATATTAAAACTTTTTGATAAGAAAAAATTTGTTTGTATCATCTGTCCTTAAACTTGGAGTTTGACCCAATTTTGAAAGAATTTAACCAACTACCTTTGCCATATCTTTTGAACAGTTGGTACGAAGATTTTCATACTTTACATTTGTATTAACTCAGATAAGTATGAATATTTCTTTTTTACCTCTTACCGTTCACCTTGAAATTCGACCCACTTAAAAAATAACATTGAGTATAACTTTTGGACAGTTTAATAGTACCAGGGTCTTAATACTTCACAGGTGTGATCCACGTTACAAAAAAATTCTTCTGTAATCCAACATTTTTTACCTGTTGACCTTGACCTTTTGCATTGACCTTCTTTAGAAAAAAAATTAACCTTGGGCAAAACTCTTGAACAGTTTGTGCAAAGGCTTTAATATTTTAAATATATTGTGCATGTACATGTATGTATATCTGATGAGAGGACCTTCTCCTGGGTATATTTAGATTGTCCCTTTGATCTTGACTATGGAGTTTGACCCATATTAAAAAAAAAAATCTTAGCCATAATTTTTAATGGATAGTGCTTGAGCTTTCATATTTCACAGATATATCCATGCAAGGAGAACAAGTCCTTCTACCGGTAAAATGTTTCAGATCCCTTGAGTTTGACTTGCATGCATTTGAGAAACTTCAACCTTCGCCAAAAGCTGTCATACGGCGGCATCATTGTTTCACAAACATATCTTGTTATGACTTACCAACTTTACGTATATTAAATTTAATATATTTTTAAAACATTTGATATACTCGTATTTGATCACCGTGGCAAATTTTAAGGGGTGGGGGCGGGGTATAAATATACACAGTGTGCATGGTAATTAACTAATGACCTGCATTCCTGATCAATAATTCCCTTTCCCAAGCCTTTATTTCTTTATTTATTATTATTATTTAAACAATTTATTTTACCTCCAGTTACTATACGAGTGATTAATTTCAAAGAAGCCACACGGAGATATTTGCGCGTTCTTTCCTTTTTTTTTTACCAATATAACCGCATAGTATTACGCACAGGCCCTAAAACGTTCCAACGGAATGCACTTTTAGCCGCTATCTTCTTCAAATCGTTTTTATCTTTATTTTATTTTTATAAAGTAGGTAAAGTATGAAAAGTGCATTTTGTTATTGTCAAATCGATCGCGCAAAATGGCGCGCACTTTTCTAGCGACAGGCCGGAAGTAGAGTAGTCGCTTTCTAATGACAAACATTTGTATAAACCGAAGGCAATTAAATTGGTGAAAAGTCAATGAGTCGATGAAAATGTAAAACAAGTAGGGTTTTTCGGCCGTATTGGGTGCAACGTGTAAAATTTGTTGCACGGAATTCAATTTAATTCATTCCACTGACGATTGAAACTTAATACATATATTTGTACGGATTTGGCATTGAGTGACATTCATAAAATATTTTCCTTTTTAAGCCCTTTTGCTTGAGTACCCGTGTTCCTTATCAAAAGTAGGAGTTATAAAAAGGCCTTCCCTGCAAAATCAATATCAAAACGGAAAGAACTATTCTTTAATGTTCTGTGTAGCAAAGATTAGGATGTGTCTATCGACTATAAATAAATGTGTCAAGGTTAAAATGCATGTTTTACTTGAAATTACATATGTTTTCACAAATTGTTAAGAAATAATCTGTCGTGTTGTACATAAGTAAAACTCTGCTGCCCAGAAACTCCCTAGGGCAAACATGAGCAAGCACTGCACGTACAGCGTAAGAAAAACCACATCTTTTCATGAGGGTTACATAAGTTTCCATTTTCTCGGTTTTCATCGAAATAATGAGTTTCCCTCTGTCAGATTACACGGTAAATCCATTGAAATTGTCGAAAGTAGAAGATAAAACCCACCGGGACGACAGCGCTCTGACGGATCAGAGGTTTATGTGTCCCCATGGTCCAAGTTGTAAATGTTCGACAAATGGCCATAAATCAGAAGGAATTCTTCTGAACCATGCCGCTGTCAAAGTTATCAGACTCAATACACCTCTCTCTTTCTCTCTCTCTCTCTGTAAGAAGTAATTAACTTACATCTATTTTTGATTTAATCATCTGTGAAATGCAGTAAACGCACACCTATTTGACTAAGAAATGGGTCAATATTTAAATTTGAACAATTTTTGGCTAAACTTGATGACCGACATTTTGTAATCGTCTTTTGGGCATATGTAGGTGGTATATTTTGTCTTGGCGAAGGTCACCCCAGATTATGTTGTTTTTCGCTCGCTACTTAAATTCATTCACAAAAACTCTCAAACTGAATTCACAAAGACGAGATTAAGTGAAGACTTTAAAAATCCCCTAGGCTCTTGTGTTCGTCAATACACACAAGAATTCAATTTGGACAGTGTCCGAAAAAACAGATTAATTTTCCTTTAAAATACAAAATAACTTACTAGCAAATAATACAGTTGGCATAAGGACTTGGTTAAAATTAGTGCTCGAAAATAACATGTTTATTCCCTTGATTTTAGATGTTTGCACATTTCATTCAAGGTATTTATTTGGGGACACAAAACAACTTATTTTTAGAGAATCTTTATCAGATGACAAAGATCTTTAAAAAAAAAAAAAAAAAAAGAAAATAAACCAAACATATCAAACTGTCTAGATCAATTAAAGAAAAAGAGTAGGAAAACATCTGGTGCGCTGTTTTAGGGAATCGTTTCCAATTAAGTGGCCACTATAGTTGAAAGTCAATAAGTATATCTAAAGGAATCTAAACTTCTACTGAGTAAAACAAACAGGAAATGACCCGATGGTCATTGTATTGATTTTTTGTGACTTGTTTCCAGTTTCTTTCATTTGTCCGGGGTGATATGTGCGGAAGTTTGGATAAGTAAACGAGCGACACCGTTACGTAACCTCACGTCCAGATAATCTGCCCATTGACAAATTGCAGGAAGGTCCCAGGGATCTTGTCTATTTAACTGCAATATACACCAACTACTGTCAGTATTCCATAAATTGTGTCGTACAGTAATATCAATATTTTAGTGAAAGACATGTACGATTACGCTTATCTACCAATTTTACATAAAACAGAAAATGTTCAGAAATTAGAGTCCATAGAAAAAAATATTCGGCGAAGAATGTAAATCCGTAATTTTTATTTGCATTCAAAAGAGTATGCAACATGTTGCCTAAGATTTCCAAATAAACACCCTCTGGGTAAGTTATTTATAAAACAGTGTATGAGGTTTAGATCAAATTGTGATAAAATGGGATGTAAAAGGCAAATAAAGAATAATGATATTGAGAGTCTAATGATGATAAATATTTTTATTTTAAGTGACAATACTTATGAATTTAAGTCAATATTTTGACTATGCTTCCTGTGTTAGGAGTTCAAAGTTTTTGCAAGTCATCGTACAAATTTAGTCTGCATTTTCAGACCCTTCTTACGACTAAAACTAGAAAAATTACCTGCATTGAGCCTTTATATGTATTCACCGTCGTAAATTTTTTTTTAAAATAAAGTACTTTAAAAAAAACCACATTTCCACACCATAACTAAGTTTGATTTTTAGAATTAAGCAATGTGTTGAGCTAAAGTCAATTGCAAAACCTTTTTTTGTAGTTTTTGACAATTCTTGAAAGGTTTAATCCATAAAATACTCTAGAACTTTTTTCACATTTTGCGAGATAACAGCTATACTCAGATAAAAAATACTGCGATGTCGTGACAAAAAGAAGATATTATGCAGTTATTGGTGCCTTAGTGAGATCTAATACTTATAATAATAACATTGCGGCATGGGGAAGCTAACTCAAGTTTGACAAAACTGACAGAATCTACATGTGACTGCTGCGAAGTCCTCAGACCCAGCAGTAGAACGACTTGTCATTGACGTCATGCGTATCACGAAGCCGCCGTAATCTGTAGAAAGGGACACCTGAAATTTTATCCCAAAAATTAATAATTTGCTGAAATGTGATCAGAAATTACCACATTTCTCACCCTGGTCCCTGATAACACTGCTACAGCACGTATCTCAGAGCAGGGAATAATACCGTCTGTTGATATAGGAGATCGGGTGATAATGCAATTCTTTGAAGATGTTTTGCTAAATATTTTGTCCTAATGCTATCAGTTTATACATGTATAAACAGGGTCTCAATCAGGTAAGAAACCAAAGTATTGTATGATTTATAATAATAATCCGACCAAGAAGCCAAAAACTATAATCACAGATTTGGAAATGATCTCATTGTCATAATTAAGTTTGTTTATTTTTTCCAAATTTTCGGATGTACGATTTACGTCAAACTACATGCAAGAGGAAGTTTTTCGATGTGTCTCACTTGAAACACTACGCAGCATACACATGTATTGTCCTTATTTACGAGTGGTTGTTTATATGTACATTTAAAAAAAAAAAGTTTAAAAACAACTGCACAAAAATTAAAGTTGCGTCTTCAGACAGTGAATTTACTAGAATGATACATGTAAACATTAACGCTGGATATCCTTTGTTGCGATGCATGTAGTGTATATTTCTATCACTCAAAATGTTATGAATTTAGAATTTAAAAAAATACTTGTAGCATTTCAAGTTTTTTTTTAAGATAAAGCAAATGCTGGTAAATATATCGACAATGACGCCTTGTTTTTGTTAAGTGCTCCTAAGTTTCGTTAATTGTAAGTTGATAATAAAACTACGTGATATACCAACTACCAATTAACAGCTGTTTTCATACGTGAAGATTAATATTTCTTAGACAAAGAATATCAGAAACAAAACCTGTCATTAAAAAGGAAAAAAATCCCCCTCCTCCAACCTCATTGAATCTTTTTTTCTCTATAAGACCGTTTCTGGAAAGGGGTGAGATGGGGGACTGGCTATTCCCGGCTTCCCTACGGAAAAAAATATAATTTTAATGTGTCCTGTCTCTTTTTTTAAAAAGACCTTTTTCATATAACAGATGAACAAAATCTGTTTAGGTTTAAAGGTAGCTACTTAAATTTAAGGACAGATGATACAAACAAACAAAATGGATGCCTGGATTGGTATATATTTTTTGGCCTAATTTCATTGCAAATGATGCAAACAATAAATTTCTAGAATATAAAGAATTTATACACCTTCTTTGATGTTCAAAAGTCTGCCCTTCTGTAACCATCCTTATTAATCTATACAAATAATTTTCACTTCAATTCCCATTTTTGTGAAACTTTGAATAAAAAATTCCAAACTACGCTATGACAAAAGTTTGTTTGTATCATCTCTCCTTAATATGTTTTAACCCTCTCGGAAAGCGATTATGAATCCATGTACTTTACGATCTTCAGTTTTTTCTCCAATAACCGATATTGCTTTATTTTAAATTAAAAAAATGTATATGTAAAGGAAATATAAAAAGAATATACCATAAAGAAATCGGAGTTGTATTATGATTATATGTATTAATAGGAGTCTACTTAAGATTATTGTTAGATCAAAGAGAAGATTCGTATTTTTTTAAGTGCAAAATTTTACTCGTCTACTCTCTTTTTAAGAAAAAAAATTATAAAACAATTGAATAATACCTTATGTAAACTTTCTTAAAAAATATCATTATTAGTACTATAGTTTATCACTTTTAAGAGGGGGGAAATCATATAACATTGACCATTTTCGGTAAACTTTTTAAAACGTCTCGAATTTTTATATCTTACTGTCTTTTTTTTCACTTTTTTTGTCTTCTTCTTTTTAATCTATTTTTTATTTATCTTATTTTTATCACTTGCGTAAGAATAGGAAGTATTTTATTTACTGTGACCAGGAACTCAGTCTGTCTTATCTGGAGACAAAATTCTCCGGAAAGACGTATACAAACGAAGTACTTTGTTTTCCGAAATTGTGTACCGAAGTACCTGAGCATCATTCTCCATTCTGACCCCCCAAATATAAAACTGACTATAACAGATTCATCGAGAACTACTTTTGACCTACTCGTTTTATCAATGACGTCATTACGTATTTGAAGTTTTATTTACCAAAGTTATCAAAAAGTATCCATAACTTTTAATTTTTTTGGAGTTGTAATGCACACTGCACTCTCTTGACAATTTTATTATTCTACAACAATTTGTAATTTGTTTTTTACTACAGCTTGGATTTCAGCCAATTTCAGATTGAAGTAAACAACATCGCAAGGTCAGCCCCGCCCCCTCCAATTATGATTGGTTGATGATACTTCTACTAATATAGCGCATACGTGTGTAGGTTCATTCATAAAATTTGACGCGCTCTAGAAGACAAGGTATATAGCATTTAGCTGAAGGATATCGTACAGTTAACACAAACTAGCAGGTGTCAAGTGAACTACAGCAGTTTAATATAGTGTAAAAGGAAGTTAGATATTCTTGAGTGTAATTGTGGACATTAATCCATGGCCCTTATAGAAGAAGATAGCATAGAGTTTTTAGAAGATCAAATCGTCCCAGACCAAGACGATTTGTTTCTACCACCAACCGAAGCTGCCTGGAATGTAAGTCGACGAAAATTTGTTCTCTTATTTTTCGATCTGAAGAAAAAAAGAAAAAAAAATCGGTTAAAGTTAAATATATCATTATCATATGCTTCTTTCTGTAGAATGATGTAATCTTTATATTACGGTCACAATGTATGTACATGTATATTATAAAAGAAAAAGATATTGAAAAAAAGTCAGTTAAACCTTCTTCACATATGTCATTCCAAAGGAGATTATGAATGGCGGAGTAATATATGTTACCTAAACCCCCATTTTACTGAATGCGTGATTCGGTCGCAGACTGCTGGAAATTTGCGTCGATAAGACCGGAAGATAATCGATTTTAGTTTGCTCTTTGTGCCATTGCAACAAGGAAATCAGAAATCGTTAGTGTATTATTCTGTTGCGAACTAAAGTTGGCAATAAATTTTAAAAAAACACACACACATGGGATTAAGTCAGGGGCTCGATTCGGGTCAGTTGGCTTGAATGCCTTCATCATGTGATCTCTATCTGCCTATTTGCTCGTCTGTGTATTGCGAAAGCACCCGAGGGTGCATTAGTCAGCCTCGTTATCGCGACACAAGATAATCTACCGTGGAGGCAACCCATACCAGAAAATTATTATCTAAATCTGCCAAAAATTCCATTGATTTTCTTAGAAACAAATCGTTCTAATTCCCTTTTCCGTATTTACGGAATAAAACTAAAGAATATTTCTTTACTAGCGTATTAAGTGTATTTTTAAAGTTTATTCTGACAATCGATTTTAATTAACCTCGGCATTGAAATGAGATGTGAGATTTGATTGGCTGTCGATAAAATCTCATGGACGTTGTGAACTTTTCATTCATCGTTTCTGCGTTGCCAAGAATTCATTCATAAATCGCCAAACGCGTAGGTGTCTCGTAAAGCTCTCGCGGGCTTTATTGATTTACTTTAACAAACATGTTTTCAAACGAATGCTGTATATTGGGGTTAGTCATCCGTTACAAAATAGGTTGATTACAATATATATATATATACTGAACTTAATTAACACTATAATAATAACTGTTTATAAAACTCTTGGAAACTGAAAACACGGTATCACAGTCTTAATACGTTTAGACTTAAGTGTAATAAACACAGTTCATTTTTTTTAAACGAAATGTCTTTTTCTACACAGGTAAAATCCGGGGATTTCGACAGGTACCTACACCTTACCGACCAAGGCCCTGCTGCCAAGAAGCTGCGCCGTGAAAGCTCGTCACTTGTCGACGAGTTTTTCCAGGATGACTTCAAAGGCACCCCGGAACTCAACAATGCCAAACACATTGTTAACCAGGGGCTGCTGGGAAGGAAACGATTCCTGGACCTGAACAACCTGAGAACCGGGCTGTTCAACTCCCCGAAGTCCGATGTCTTCAGAAGAGAAATCTCGCCCTTGGCCGAGGAGGTCCGAGAAGACGGTTTACAACGAGTGGGTCTCATCAAGTCACCGGCCAAGACGACGAAAATTGACCTTAGTGAAACGATGATGGACCCCGCCTCTATGATGAGCGGGGGTTACGTGGATCTGCGAGAACAGAGTAAACATGTGGACGATTCAATCTGGGAGGACGTGAAAGACAGTATTGATATGGTGAATTCTAAAGACTCAAATTCAAATGACCCCATAGTGATTAAACAAGAAGATTCAGACATTTCATTTAAACCAGCATGCCAGTTTCAAAATTCTAGAATCCCTTCTTTTGAGAACATTTCTGTGAAAATTGAACCATCCACTTCAAGTTGTCTTTTGGCGGGTTCCAACTCGACAGAGAGCTTGACCACTAGGCCTAAGTCTCTCTCTGTGTCCCAACAACAGATGATGTTCTCTCAATCACCCTCTCCTGTCGCCCAATACATGGCACAGTTAAATAGTATTGCAATGAACAAATCCCATATGACGTCATCGACATTTTCGACGGCAACGCCCCCACATATGGTCCCAGTATTCCTCCCTCCAACGCCCCCTAATTCGGAGCCCAACAGTCCTAGTCAAGACGTGCCCATGAGGCGCACTCCCCCTCCGCCGTACCCAGGGGTTCAGCGACATCAGAGCTACAACACCCTCAACATCCAGCCCATTCCCTACACCCCAGTCCCCCCTAGGACCTCCAACAAAGTCCAGGCCACTCACCCAGGGTGCTCCACAATCAAGTACAACAGAAAAAATAACCCTGACCTAGAAAAAAGAAGGATCCATTTCTGCGAATTTCCAGGTAATTATTTTAAAAGTTTACAAATCAAACGGCTCTTTACAATAGGATATAGTCTGCAAATAATTCATATTTCATACAAAAGTCATGACAGTGGTTGAGGACCCGAGGAAGCGATTCAGTAACTTTCAAGAGCTTTCAACATTTGTAACAGACCATTAATGAGCTTTATAATTCTAACCAAACGGAAACGACTTTTTTGCTATCTTTGATTCACTCGGCGAACAACGAAACGATTTGAATCAATCAATGGAGAGATGCATTTCCGCTGAATCCTCTATTGGGACTCTGTAGCGAAAGCTTGTGTCTAGAAATCAATATTTTTCCATTGCAAAACTATATATCTAGAAGTACAAAGCCGTGTGATCAAGTCGCATCGATTTCTTTGTCTGCTAGAATTTTTTATAGGTAAATTGGATCTAATTTGTTTTATTTCTTGTTTTTCGCAGGTTGCAGAAAAGCCTACACAAAAAGCTCACATCTGAAAGCTCACCAGAGAATTCACACAGGTAAACAGACTTCATAAATAAAACTTAGAAATAAACTTTAAAGACAGATAAACAAACAGACAGACAAAAAATTAAACCAGCAAATATTAACAGTACTTTTATTTATTCTATAGGTGAAAAACCATACAAATGTCATTTCCAAAACTGCCAGTGGCGCTTTGCTAGATCCGATGAGCTCACTCGTCATATACGAAAACACACAGGAGCCAAGCCTTTCAAATGTAAAGTCTGCGAGCGGTGCTTCGCCCGTTCCGACCATCTCGCTCTTCACATGAAGCGCCATGAACCCAAATCCAAGTGAAAACTCTCCACCCACCCGGAGAACATTTTTGGTGAAACCCATCTTTGCTTTTTTGGAGCCACTTTGGGTGCGCATTTGATCGGCACTGCCTTGGTAGAACTGGTATTGCCATAAACCATTTTTTCTTTGGCAACCAGGAGGTTGGATAGTGAGAGGGTTCGATTAGACACACCGGTTGTCTAAATTGTTGTCAAGACTTTGTTTTGAATGACAGAATGCTAATTGTAGATGGCATATAGACTTGTTAAAGGCAGCTATGCGACACTTGGGCTATCTGGTGCAAACGAGACAGAAGTTGTCTGAGAAGACTTTAGATTAATTTGTTGTTATCAGTGTTTACTTGTTAACTTATGGACAGTTATAGTCATTTGTTGTAGTTCTACAAATAATCAATTGAATGAATCACGCACTACTTAAAGCCATATGCCATCGTTGACGCAGTTGGGCAACAGCCAATTAGCGCAACGAAGCATGAAAAACGATTTAAGAAGGCGAAAAACAGCTTTAAACAAAATAAATGTATTGCATTGAGACACAAATGACTACTTGAGAATTCCCACACTTCCGCTTGTACTAGCCATGTTCCTTATGTTGTTAAATCTGTAGAAATTCCATGCATACGGGTCCTTGACCAATCATGTATTCGCTTTGTTGCAGATGCCTGCAAGTTGTTTTCATTGTGAGATAGCCGTTATTTCTTGGTTGTTGTGATATAAATCTCTTTCGCCATTTTGTGTTATTAACAGTGTGTATACCTGTTCCCGTGCTCAATCAATTGAGAACTAGTTTTTATGAAATATTTTTATTTGTATATTTGATGTATTATTTCAATTTTTAAATAGTTTATTTCATGAATAAATATTGAAAAAACAACAATACAGTCTTATATCTGTTGTTACAAAGGATATAATGATTGTGGTTTAGTAAAGTTTTGTGATCAGTTAATAAGGGGATCAATAATGGAGCCATGGGAAGGCAAATCGAGACATGTCTGCAAATGAATAAACCCATAAATGGTGGAGCATTGAGCGTGTCTAAATAGGTTGTTGACACAATTTACTCGAGCAGACGACTGTTGTCAAGACGTCAGTTGGTCTATGATATATGGGCCTCTTGCAGGCAATAGATTCCAACAAACTATATTGCGTGCCAATACTTGGCATTATTCCTGCGATTAGTTTAAGAGAATTATGATATTGGATAGCAAAAACGGGTTCATTGCTTTATGAAGGTGATTCAGCGAAAACATGATATTGTTTTTTTGCAATTTTGTATGCGAGAAGAATTATTGGAAGTGCCTAATTCAAACGTGTGATTCTCACAATTGTTATGGAACATGTGAGAATGAGAAGTCGTGTCGAAATATTGATTTCGTTGATGGTAAAAACTATCTTGAATAGGAAAACGAATAAACATAAATAAGACATGAATGTTAGAAAACCTGTTTGCGTGCAATTTTGGCATTTCAATTTTACTTATCCTAAATTATAGAAATCTGCCTTGGGTATGAGATCTGTCTCAATGCCAAGTTTCATAATGATTATTTAACATGGTTAACAGAGTTACAAATCGTTACAATTCTGGCTGTCTCCTTGACCATATTGCAAGTGGACCATCTGCACATGTCCAAATCGTGCTTTATGATAAAATGTTGCAAGAGAAGGTGTAACTTTTCGTCCTGTTGGGATATGTCTACAGATACGTGCGTGCCTCGGGGGACACAAGTAACAAATCAACAAGACCCAGTCAATTTTTACTCTTATTCAATAGGGAAGTCCTGAACAAGAATTTTATGAAAAGACATGAACAAAGAACTTCTGTATATTTTCTCCTTTATATCGGAAAATTACCAAACATAATTGATAAGAGAAAATGGTATATCTGGAGAGTTCTATGGGAACAGTTTTCTGCCTTGACATGCTGCGAAAGATAAGAATCCACGACCGTAGACCAATATAACGTGTTCACTCCGTGTTTTGTATTCATTTTAGTATCCATTTAGAATTTTGATGTACGTAATTGATTTCTTTTTTAACAAGGTTAGAGATGGAACTACAAAAGATCCGTTGCTTTAACTATTAATTAATTAATCAGGCTATTTTTACAATATGTCACATGTCGTAAAACCATCGGCACACGAATATGCGTGGAAACGGTTAATTCATTACCACAGTTTGTAGATTTGACAACCGCAGTATGAGATTTCTTATGTTTTGTCACAACCTTGTGTCAAAGTTTTGGTGTTTGCCTAAGGGCAACAAAACTTCACGTAAACAACTAAGTTTTAAAAGTTCATTAAATGTATTTCTTATGAGACAGATGAATAATATTGATGTTATTCAGTCCTTGCGAAAATATAAATTGGTTCCAACGAAAGTTTTGGGATGTTTAGGAAGCTATAATTGAGTATGAAACTGAAACCGTTTCGTTCCAAGAAAAAGGCTTATTTGCATTTCAGGAGGTCTAACAAACCTCTTATAGATAGCTGCGGTATAAATAGAGGATTTAGAATGCAGTGTACAATGAACTACTGCTACGTGTTACTTTGATAATCAAAGTACTGAAAGTACTGTTAGACGGAGGCTTAACACAAAAGAAATATATATGTCATACATTGCTGTAAAGAATATTATGAGAAATAATGTGTAGTTTTTTTTTTCAATTCAACATTATTTTCAAAGGATACTCCAATATTCATGAGGTTTTTGGGATATTATAATTTCATCTTTGTAATGTAAACTTCGCCTTGATTAAAGTTCACTGTTATTTAGATGAGATACTTTCAATATTAAACCTTTCAAAGTAAGAAACAGTAATTGACTAGGCCTGGTTGACATAAAACTTAGACGGGCTAACTTTTTATCCCAGTCTCACTTAAGGAATATATAGTGGAAAAGTGAGACTGAGATCAAAAGTGAGCTTGTCTAAGTTGTATGCCCCAGGCCCGGTTTGATGAATGTAGGTTTAGTATGTTCTAGTCATGAGCCCACTGGCGGAATGATAAAAGGGGCCCCTGGCCCCCTCCCTTTTGAGTCCAAAAAATACGCAATATTTGATAAATGAGTGTTTTAATCGTGGCTGTGGGCCCCTTCCCTGACCTCAAACTGGTCCCCCTATTTCAGAATTTCTGGATTCAGCACTAGGCCTCAGCCTGTCAGGAGTCTCCATATTTCAAGATATCTTATTTATAAGTCACAGAGACCTACTGTTAACATAATTATGACATGTAACAGCTACCAAAATCAAAATTTCTCGGCCTTATTGTAATAATGTTATGATATGAGCTAACATGGAAAAAGAAGCAGCCAGGTAATTGGACAGGAACAACATAATATAGTACAGTTTGTCTTAAACCTTTGTGATACAAAATGGGGTGACCTAGCTTGAAAGCAACACAGAATTTTCTTTAAGTAATACAACTTCATTAACATGCAATAAATGTTCGTGCCAGAACACAATTTTTTGAGTGGAATAAAATATACTCTCTTACTTTATGTAAATAGAACAATCAAGTTCATAAGACTTGCTATTTCACAAGTTTAAATTGTTTTTGGAGAACTGGAGTATTGCTTACAATAACAAAGATATATCTTGACAAATTTGACAACCAATATTTCTGGAATTATTAAATGTAGTATTTTATCATATGACAGATTTAACCCAAAAAATGTCTTTCTTTACTCGTATACCAGTGGAAATAGTTGTCCGTTTCAGTTTATCTGTTTAGAACAATCATTAACAATGAGACATGATTACAAATTTTTAGAGAAAAGTTATAAATACTAGTATATAACTATGATTTCTGCTTTTCAGTTAAAACAATCACTTTACCAATGATGTAGGTTAAAAAAAATTGACATGAATACCAATGATCAGAAATACATGTAATCTTGTATATAAAAAATAATTAAAGTTTGGGATGTGAAAGAGGTAAAACACAAGTATCAAATGCAAATAAGGATCAACGATATGACAATAAGACAACTTATTTCAGAAGATATGATTTTTAATTATTAATTAGGATATTATGTGATAAATCATGTAAATCCTATGAACCAAGATTTGGGTTGTACCCAAGGGTCAAACGTTACAAATGCATTTTGATCTCAATATCGGAGTTGCCGTTTGTTTCTCTCTTATCTAATGTGAGGGTACCCCAAACACTCAAACCGCTTGTAGAAAGTGTAAATCTATTTTCATGTGTTTCCTGAAATTATACATAATATCAAATAAACAATTCAAAACTAGACTGTTAATATTCCTACATATAAAAATACTATGCATTTGTTTATTCATCGATCCTTGTCAGATTAAAAAACTCCATGAAACCTATTGATGCAAGCGTCAAAAATCGGCCGCAAACCAATTTATCGGTCTTTCAAAAAGAAATTAGAAAAGGAATGAAAATGAGATTACAAACAACAATCAAGCACAAAAAATTCCATTAAAACTGAAACGCTTGATCTATTATTAAAATATCTGATATTTATACCTGCGACATAAAACATTTTCATGCGACATAGCAGGATTTTCTTCAATACATAATACAGGTACATCTGCGTCTCCACACTTAGTTTGATACACAGGCCAATTCTGGTGGAAGTTTTTACAATTAAATATAAAACTAAAGTTTAAACTTATCTGTAACTAGAGATAGTTTTTACTTTAATAAAAGAAGCAATTGATAAGTGGGGTTTTTACACTCTCCGCGGATGTTACCCCCCCCCCCCAACTCCCTCTAATCCGCCACTTCATTTCTTCTCGTTCTTGTTTTGGTGTGAGAACCGGCGGGAAAAGGCTCGGCATATTGTAAAACATGCTTTATCATCGTCTGTTGGAACAAAATCTCCTAATATTCTGTCTAATAAAAAATTAATAGTAAATCACTTTTTTTTTTACATATTCCGTAGGAAATGTATTCATATACACGTCATTTTAAAATATTAGACAAATCCTGTTTAATTAGAAAAAGTAGAACTGTTTGTTTATACTTGTATGTGACGCGATCTTTGTTTTAGACTATGCCTATCCTTGCGGTCGGTGTAACGCAGAGTCGCTCTAAAAATAGAATTCTCAAGGTAATGAAAACAATTCCACCGATAGATGGTGCTTGGGAAATCTTTCCTGTTTACATTCCATGGGCAAGACAATCCCTATACACGGAGGCTGTCATACAGCCTTTGATAAAAATCGGTAACAATGTAGATATGAGAGGTCCTTGATGAGTGACGTCGAGTGTTATTTACTTAATTCGGGCTTAGCAAATAGTGTATAATCATACCACTATTCCATTAAAGGTTTAAAAAAGATTTTTAAAAATTCGTGGCCTCTAATAAAACATATTTTGCTTTGTGCTTTTAATTAAAAATCGTAGCGAATATAACGAATACGATCAACTAGATAAATCATAACACTATGCACCATCTCTTGACAATGTTCCGATTTTGTTTAATTATACATTGTAAAGATAACTGAAATTTGACATAATTTTTACTTATATTTATTTCCCTATGCTGTTACATATATTTTTAATCGTAAATTAGGCATCGACAAATAATAACTCGTATAGTGTCTGAAAATTCAAGGAAAGGCGTATGTACGTATATTTTTGTCTTGCTTTGAAAAGACATGAGGCACTGATAGAATTCCTTTGACAGAAAGAAAACCTTTTGGTATCGATTCCAGCATTTAGCAAATATTATATTTAAAAGTGAACTAGAAATATTTCTCTGCTACATTTACGTACAAGAATTATTTTTTACAGTCCATTCATGGGGTCTATGAAAGCTTTCGCACATGTAGTATACTTCTTAAAAGGGGAAAAAAGAACAAAAAATGTATATAAATAATATGAAATTATCATTCAGCATATTTTA